TCATAGGTCGGCCTCCAACCCACTGAGGCCACACGGTCGGGCAGCTCCTGGTGTACTTTTAGGAATTCTTTTGATTCTTCTACATTTATTTAAAAAGAAGAGAAAAAAAAAACCTAGTTACGGTTGCAGTTTGATTGAACAGCTTTTTTCCTCTCTTCTGGGTGTTAGGTGCTGGCACAAGCCGGCCAGGGAGCGTGGCCCCGGTAACGAGAGCTGTGCCCGGTACTGTCCCCCGATATTGTCCACAGTGGGTCACGGCTAATGGACACACACACACCCCCATCACAGCCCTCCGTGCCGGCTGCGCCAACCATCCCCGTTTCACAGGGAGAAACCCACACAGGTTTCAGCGGCAGAGCTGAGAGATTGAAACTTCCACAGTTGACGCCAGTGCCCACCTCTCTACCCACCAGGCCAAACCCCCTTTCTCGTTAACTGGGGAGATTTAGAGAATAGATGCATCCTGTCCAAGCTTCGTGCAGATAGAAGCCTGCAGTCAGCGGACGGAGACTGTGCCCCCCCCCCTCCCAAGGTCATTAATGAGGCTGGCTAATGAAATAATTACTCAGCACGGTCTGACATCTCTCATATTCATTTCCCAATCCTCTTGGTCAACTACAGCTTCTAAGAACAAACTGGCATTCATAAAAGAATGCCTTGTTTTTGGACGCATTCCTGTTACTTGACCAAATCTGAGAATGTGACCAGCTTGAGCCCTCCAGCCAGGAAGCCAACTTTAAGGGGCGTGTAGTGTGTGTGTGTGTGTGTGTGTGTGTGTGTGTGTGTGTGATTATTTTATACTTCATCACTTTGGAAAACGTGTTACATTTTATTTTTATTTTTTAAATATACTTGTATTGATTCCAGAGAGGAAAGGAGAGGGAGAGAGATAGAAACATCAATGATGAGAGAGACTCATTGATCGGCTGCCTCCTGCACCCCCCCTACTGGGGATCGAGCCCAAAACCCGGGCAGGTGCCCTGACCAGTATCAAATCTGGGACCCTTCAGTCCACAGGCCGACACTATCCACTGAGCCAAACTGGCCAGAACAACGTGTTACATTTTAATTGAGAGTATAGGGGTTCAGAACAAGTCATATTTTATTGATTTTTTACAGAGAGGAAGGTAGAGAGATAGAGAGTTAGAAACATCGACGAGAGAGAAACATCGATCAGCCGCCTCCTGCACATCCTCCACTGGGGATGCGCCCGCAACCCAGGTACATGCCCTTGACCGGAATCGAACCCGGGACCCCTCAGTCCGCAGGCCGACGCTCTATCCACTGAGCCAAACCGGTTTCGGCTAACGTGTTACATTTTAATTGAGAGTATAGGAGATCAGAACGAGTCACCCCAAGATGTTCCTCTGTGATAGGTGGATTATTTTGAGCTAAAGGCAACCGAGACCCCCTCAGGCTCAAGAAAAATTTCTGCCCCAACTCCCTTAACTACCTAGAAGAATTTAAATTAGGGGCCTTGCCCATAATAAGAGTTGTCACCAGAAATAACTTTTTATCACCTAGCTGTAGAGCAGAGCAAACTTCTAATTATTGAACATCTGTGCATCTTGTCCTTCAAATGACCTTCCTTCCCTCAAGCCCCAGGGCGCCTTACCTCATCCTTAGCTCAGAATGTCAGATGCCTCAGTTTCCCTTTCTGTGTCTGAACCCTTCCTGTATGTGGGGTTCCCATGGGAACATAGGCAATTAAATTTGATTATTGTCTCTGGTTAATTTGTCTCATATAGATTTAATTATTAGACCAGAGGTAGAGTAATCTTTATAGCCCAAAGGGATTCAAATACATTAAAGAACAGTGGGAAACGGCACCTCCTTTATAGGGTGCCAAGGGCATTTAGATGTTCACTTATGGGGTATAAAATTGCTCATTTGATTATTTCTCTTAGTAAGGCATTGTTATTTGTAGGCATGACAATAATCACTTTATTGAACATTTGGTATTCTTAAACAGGCGTCTGTACTTTATATAAAATAATTAGTTTGGAAAGACATATCTAAACTTAGTTATATATGGGTGTGTATTTGCTCGTCATAAAAAAAAAATCAAACACCATTCACACTGTGGACTTCTCATTGGTTTCTAGTTTGAGCCACTCCTGTCACATAAGTGGTTGGTTAACTCCTCGGCAAAAAGTTCACTTTAGAAATCTGCAGAATCATTCTACACTTGATAAAATACAGACTCTGGGTCTTTGCAGACTTGGCATGAGGGAGGTTCCTGTGCAGTTTGCCATGGTGCCAGCCAAAGGCCCTCAGAGGGGCTGTTCTCTGTGTCATCGCGAGATCGCCTGCATCACCTTTGAGTTGCATTTCCATCGTGCGTCCTACCCTTTGGCCCCGTGCAGTGCCTGTTGCGGAATCCTGCTCCTGGGAGAGCTGCTTGCATGAGAAATTGTCTGGGAAGCCTCGCCTCCAGCGATTCCTGCTCCTCCTTCCCTTACTTCATGAATCCGGTTTTATTTGGTTTGTCAATCGCCCTCCTCATTTTCATTTTTATTTTTATTTTTCCGTTTCAGAGCCACTCAGTACACATGCATGTTGCTTAGGTATTTGTTAGAGCCTAAACCTGACAAAGAGAAGGTGGTAACGAAGCTCAAGAAACTGGAGTCTAGTGTGAGCACTGGCCGCAAATGTAAGTACCCTGTTTCTCCAGGGCCATTGGGCCCTGGCTTGGATCCTCGGGCTCTGTCATTCACAAAACACTTTCTAGAACATTCCTTTCTAGTCAGGTTTGCCGATGAAGCCCGCCAGTCAGTCTGCCCTCATGGAATGACAGGCCCCACACGGTGACTGCTTTGCTGCTTCGGACCATTCACAAACACCTGCAGCGTTCCCCGTCGGCGCTGTTCCGCATCTTTGTGGTTAATTGCAACCCTTGGGACACACACTGTGTTAGCTCACCTTTATTTACCTATTTTTAAAATATATTTTTATTGATTTCAGAGAGGAAAGGAGAGGGAGATAGAAACATCCATAGTGAGAGAGAACCTGCCTCCTGCACACCCCCTACTGGGGAGGGGGATCGAGCCCACAACCCGGGCATGTGCTCTTGACTGGAATCGAACCCAGAACCCGTCAGTCTGCAGGCCAACGCTCTATCCACTGAGCCACACCAGCCTGGGCTGGTTCACCTTTTGTTCTTAGAATCCCCACGTTTGGGCAGTCCCCGACATGAGCTCCTGCCTCCGGGAGCCCCTTATATTCTCTGGAAGAACAGAATAGCTGTATCCTGGACCCCCTGCCTCTCCCCTTCTTCTCTTGAGGGATTGCTAAGGGAAATGGACACAGTCGTTCTTTTTCTATATATTTTATTGATTTCAGAGAGGGAGAGAGAGATAGAAACATCAATAATGAGAGAGAATCATTGATTGGCTGCCTCCTTCCCGCCTCCTACTGAGGATCAAGCCCACAACCTGGGCATGTGCCCTTGACCGGAATCGAACCTGGGACCCTCCAATCCACAGGCCAACGCTCTGTCCACTGAGCCAAACCAGCTAGGGGCGGATACATTTTCTTAGACCAGTTGTGGCATGATTTCACATTAAAAGCAAAAAGTGAAGTCAAGTGTTTTATGCTCATTTAGTTCACTTGACCAGTAAGGCTTAGTGGGAAACCTGTCCTTCCAGTAGCAGTGGTGTGCCCAACTCCGAGTTGTCGGAGGAGAGCCAGAAGTTGCTGCAGCAGGTGAGCAGGGACCAGAGGAAATGGAGAAATCAGATGTTGCACAATTACTTGTGAGCACCGACTTCATGGAGGCATAGTCCCGAGCTCTGTGGGAGATCTGAGAGCACATGGTGTAACAGTGCGATTAGATTTAGTGCCAGATACGTTGGTGGAGGACAAGGAAGGCTTCTGAGGAGGTGGGCTGGGGGCGTGGCTAGCAAGAGGAAGAGGGAGAGCGAGCGTCTTGGGGGTGGTTTCCTCCGGTGACAGCTCAGGCTCTTCAGAGCAAACAGTTGTGTTAGGGCAGTGGTTCTCAACCTTCTGGCCCTTTAAATACAGTTCCTCATGTTGTGACCCAACCATAAAATTATTGTCGTTGCTACTTCATAACTGTAATGTTGCTACTGTGATGAATCGTCATGTAAATATCTGATATGCAGGATGGTCTTAGGCGACCCCTGTGAAAGGGTCGTTCGACCGCCAAAGGGGTCGCGACCCACAGGTTGAGAACCTCTGTGTTAGAGGATCAGTGAGAAAACTGGTTTGACTAGAGAAGACTTAACGTTGTCAAGCGGGAGGGGAAGGGCAGGGTGAGCTTTCTGGACGGCTTTGAAGAACAAGAATAGACGTGCTCAGATTCTCTAGAATGTTGGTGCTCAGAGGCCCTTTGCAGTCACTGTCTCCGAAGTCCAGAAAGGACGTGCCCAAGGTCACTCAGTCATTAGTGCAAGAGGCGAACGGAACCCAGGATTATCCGTTGCTTCTGTGTCCTGCATTGCCTTTGATAAGTTGATACCAAACCTTCTTCTGAGATTATAAGTTTCCTCAGGGAAGCTACTTCCGAGTATTTGCTGAGTCTAAGATACAGTTCTTGAAGGAAAGTACTTCTTTTGTACCCTCCATAGTGTTTAGGACGGTAACGCATACTGACTATTTGACTGATGCATAAATATTTGATTGATAGCTCCCTGATTAATGGAATTACAGCCTCAGATAAAGGCATGTCTTGCAGTGATTGATTTAATTCACTAGGAGTCATATATGACGATATTACTCGTTGTCCTAGCCACTAAATCCTACCACCTTCACTTTTTTTTAAATTCTTTTTTAAAAATACAGATTTTTATTAATTTCAGAGAGGAAAAGAGAAGGAGAGATAGTAACATCAATGATGAAAGAGAATCATTGATCAGCTGCCTCCCGCACACCCCCTACTGGGGATGGAGACAGCAGCTCGGGCCTGTGCCCTGAACTGTGACCTCCTGGTTCATAGGTCAACGTTCAGCCACTGAGCCAGTTATTTACTTTGTCTTGACAGTAGGAGCCAAAGGGGGTTGGGCCAGAGAAATGGCAGATTGATAACGGTGTTGTTTTCAGAGCAATCTTCTGCGTGGGAAGTAAATAAAATGTAGGGCCTCAGACTCTCCAGAAGGATGCTGCATCTGGAGTTCTTGTTGCCATAGAGCCTTCCTGGTAAAGAAGTGTAAGCTGGTCATGGGCAGATGGACGCTGGTTCCTGACCTCAAGTGCCCGGTGTTGTAAGGCGGTGCTGAGCATTCACTGCAGTGGAGGCAAGGAAGTCAAAGAGCCACCGTCTGTCTCTTCCGGTGTCATTTTATTTATTTATTTGTTTGTTTATTTATTTTTGTTAATCCTCATCCGAGGATATATTTCCGTTGATTTTTAAGGAGAGTAGAAGAGAGAGGGAAAGACAGAGAGAAACATCGATGTGAGAGGAACACATTGATTGGTTGCCTCCTGCACGAGCCCCGATCAGGGCCTGGGCCAGAGAGGAGCCTACAACCGAGGTACGTGCCCTTGACCGGAATCGAAGCTGGGCCCTTTGGTCCGCAGGCTGACGCTCTACCCACTGAGCCACACCAGCCAGGGCTGGGCTCACGTTAGGTGTCTGAGGCCGACTGTGAAGTGTAGTCTTTCTCCTTCCCTGAGCACGGACAGAGCCTCAATGACAGTGTGGTGTCAAGGACCAGGGCCCTGCCTTCCTGCCGCACACAGTTCAATAACCGTTTGCTGCCGTGGGTTCTTGCAGGGTTCAGGCTGGGCAACGTGGTCCACGCTGTACAGGCCACTCAGCAGAGCATTCACGCCACGGACCTGGTGCCCCGCTTCTGCCTGACACTCGCCAACCTGAACCGTGTGGTTTACTTCATCTGTGACACCGTCCTCTGGGTGAGGAGCGTCGGGCTCACCTCCGGCATTAACAAAGAGAAATGGCGACTGTGGGCCGCACGCCACTACTACTATTCCCTCCTGCTGAGCCTGGTCAGGGATCTGTACGAAATCTCCCTGCAGATGGAACAGGCCGCGCAGGACAAGGCAAAGAGGGACAGGTCGCTCTCCCAGGATCCTCTGGGGTACAGCGTGGCCGATGAGGAGACAGAATGGCTCCAGTCCTTTCTCCTGCTCTTGTTCCGATCGCTGCGCAAGCACCCTCCCCTGCTCCTGGACACGGTGAAGAACCTCTGTGACCTCCTGAATCCTCTGGACCAGTTGGGGATCTACAAGTCCAACCCTGGCATCATTGGACTCGGGGGGCTCGTGTCCTCGGTCGCCGGCATCATCACGGTGGCCTGGCCTCACCTGAAGCTGAAGATCCACTGAGGCGGCTCCAGGCTGAAGACTCGCACCTCTTGGGGGGACGGACATTAGCGTTGGGCAGGGTCCATGCTTGGGTCAGTCTGTGCTTAACGACTCGTTCGCATGAGCATTCAGTGACCTGGTGCGTGAGCGGAGGTCGGGCCAAGGATGGAGGAGGGAGAGCATGAAGATGGACATGTTTTGTGGAGTGCTGCGATCACTTCCGAATTTCTGAGTATTTTCCCTTCGTCTGACACTCATTGAGCCTCTCTTCTGCACATAGTAGGAGCTTCGTGTTTGCTGAATGAATAAACATGGAAAGAAAACAAGTTTTTAAAGGTCCAAACCAATAAGTGAATGCTAATACACAGTCATTAGGGGGCTGTGCTGCCTCACTGCTTTTTTTTTTTTTTAATATATATTTTACTGATTTTTTACAGAGAGGAAGGGGGAGGGATAGAGAGTTAGAAACATCGACGAGGGAGAAACATCGACCAGCCGCCTCCTGCACACCCCCTACTGGGGATGTACCCACAACCCAGGTACATGCCCTTGACCGGAATCGAACCTGGGACCCTTGAGTCCGAAGGCCGACGCTCTATCCACTGAGCCAAACCGGTTAGGGCCGCCTCACTGCTTCTGCACACCGACAGCAGCTCTGATTGACAGCCCTCAGAGCCAGCAGAGGCCCCTTCCGCCCTGGAGCCCATGCGGGATGGGGGGAGCTGGGCTTCCGGCCTCGGGAATCGCTCGCCCTGACATCACTGCCCTCCTGTCCCCCGCCCGGAAGTGGAATCAGAAATGCATCAGGCACCTCCAAGGTACCAGTTGTGTCTGAGGTAGTGCAGTGACCAAGCAAAAAGGCAGAAGCACTTAGAAAGAACTTGAGGCAAAAAGAACGTGGAAGGTCACCACGGGGTGGCCTGGGACAGATGGGGAAATGGGGTTGAAAGAAAGCCGAGGCCAGCACCTCATTCCTCTGCTGGCCAGTCCAAGGTCCCTCAGTCATGAGTGCCGGAGCCAGACTGGGACCCAGGATCAGTCGTTGCATCACCTCCGTGATAGCTCACTGCCGGCGGGTGGAGGGAGTGGGAGGCTCCGAATCCGAATCCGGTGCAAGCAGCCTTTCTGAGACTCTGTGTTGGTCAGTGGTTTCTATTTTCTACAAAAATTAAAACTAGGGTTGTCCCCCGCCTCCCCCAAAAATGTATACACACACTTTGAGTAATTACAAAGACAGCGTTTATTAAAATCCATCTTATTTTCAAAATTGAGCTGTTAGCATGTATATACATTTTGGGGGGGACACCCTGTATATTTAGACTTGTCAGCAAGATTGTTTTATTTAAAGCCATAGGACAGTTTGGGCATTTCCACATAAATTTATGCAATGAAGTTTCACAAATAGTCTGAATGTCGGAGGGTTGCAATTTTCTATGATCAGTCACGCTCCGTGTGTGTGTGTGTGTGTGTGTGTGTGTAGGAGGTTGGGGCGGTGGACGGAGCCGTAGGCATCAGTGAAGGGGATGTTTCAGTGTTGAGCAGAGGCCACTTACTCGTGTTCCTACTTCCCATCTTGGGTGTCGGGTTCTTCTGTGATCACAGATCTAAGCTTCCTGTACAAGTGATTGAGCTTCTTAGAAAGTAGGCTCAGGTTCTTGGCTCTTTATTTTAAAGCGATCAAGATTCAGGATTTGAGAAGAAACCTTTAGGGAATTTTAAGAGACATGAAAGTGGCTAGATCAGGGCACATAAAACGTTTTAACAACTCTTGATACTTGTCCAGATCCTTTACTGTAATAGAGTAAACATGTCTCATTAAATCTCTAGACAAAATTGATTCTGTATCTGTGAGTGTGTTGTGGGCACGGAGAAGCCTTCAGAGGAAGGCGGTCCCGAGACGACCATCAGCGGAGTCTGCACCGGGCGGCGTGAGCTCAGGCCTGGAACCCCCGCTGAGGAGGAGGACGAAGAGGGACTTAGACTGGAACACCTGGGTCGCTAGAGGCTGCTACCCAGGCGAGGTCCTCTGTCAGCCCCGAAGGTGGGGTTTTGCTTCTCCTGGAGGCATGTTACAGTGGTATCGTGGTGGTACTATTTTTTTTTTCCTTTTTCAAATATTTTATTTTAGAGAGGAAGTGAGGGAGAGAGAGAGAGAGATAGATAGAAACATCAATGATGAGAGAGAATCATTGATCAGCTGCCTCCTGCACCCCCCACACTGGGGATCAAGCCCCCAACCCAGGCATGTGCCCTGACTGGGAATCGAACCGTGATCTAGTTCAGTGGTCGGCAAACTGAGGCCCCTTGAGTGTGGCTCTTCCACAAAATACCACGTGCGGGCGCGCACGTACAGTATGATTGAAACTTCGTGGCCCACTCAAGGAGCCAAAGAGCCGCATGTGGCTCGAGAGCCGCAGTTTGCCAACCACTGTCCTAGTTCATAGGTCAACACTCAACCACTGAGCCACACCGGCCAGACTCATGGTGGTACTTTTGTCCTCTCCAAGTTAGAGTGGTCAGTGATGGCGAACCTATGACACGCGTGTCAGAAGTGACACGCGAACTCATTTTTGTGGTTGATTTTTCTTTGTTAAATGGCATTTAAATATATAAAATAAATATCAAAAATGTAAGTCTTTGTTTTACTATGGTTGCAAAGATCAAAAAATTTCTATATGTGACACGGCACCAGAGTTAAGTTAGGGTTTTTCAAAATGCTGACACGCCGAGCTCAAAAGGTTCGCCATCACTGGAGTAGGTGGTGGGGAGTCTGGGGAAGGCGCCTCTTCTAGAATTTGTGAAGAGCTAGAATGTGTGTGCCCTGGTACCTCCCTCCCTGTGCACCTTTTTAAGTAACACCCCCACCTCCGCGCCTCCACATTCATGAGTGATTCAAAAAGCAAGACACTCTTAATAAACGTACAAGCCAGCACCTCACAGCTGAACCCAGTGCCCGAGAAATGCATTCAGGGGTGAGCGTCTGAGTGCCTTGCCTAGTTCTGGGACCCACTGTGCACAGATGGCAAGGTCTCTGTGCCTGTGTGGTGGTGTGTGTGTGGTGGGCTTGGGGCGGGGGGGGGGGCAGACAGAGATGGGGGAGGAAGGTAACCCTGTCCTTGAAGCTGCTGGCGGAAAGCGGACCCTTCCCAAGGGACTCCCCTGGCCCTTTCACCTCGCTCACCTCTCACCCACACGCTGGCTTCCCGGCAGCTCGGCCAGAGGACCAACATCAGCAGTGCTTCGAGCCCAACGCCCTCTCCTCCCTCTGGCCCACAGCCACTTCTCCAAGGGCTGGAGCTGCCCTTTGGCCGGCTTGCTCTCCAGACACGGCCCGAGGCCAGAGGCCATGCCTTAGACACTCCCCCCGCCCCCCTCCATTACCGCCTTTCCTTCTTGAAGTCTGGGTCGGACCCATAAGTAGTGAACGTTTCAGATACAACTCCTGCTGGACTCTCCCTTTCCTCACCTCCCAGTTCCTGCTTGATTGTCTCACAGGTACCGACTGGACTATGAGGACCTATCAGAGAGCTCAGTTTTCCCCCACCCTCAGCCCCTCTTTTCTTAAAAAAATATTTTTATTGATTTCAGAGAGGAAGGGAGAGGGGGAGAGAGAAACATCAATGATGAGAGAGAATCATCGATCGGCTGCGCGCCCCCTACTGGGAATGGAGCCCACAACCCTCACTGGGAATGGAGCCTGCAACCCGGGCATGTGCCCTGACGGGGAATTGATGCTCACTGAGCCATGCCGACCGGGCCCCACCCTCCGCCTCCTTCTCCACTGCCCACAGCACACAACCTAGAGCAGTGGTTCTCAACCTTCCTAATGCCGCGACCCTTTAATACAGTTCCTCATGCTGTGGTGACCCCCAATTTCATTGTTACAAATTGAACATAATTAAAGCATAGTGATGAATCACAAAAACAATATGTAATGATATATGTGTTTTCCGATGGTCTTAGGCGACCCCTGTGAAAGGGTCGTTCGACCCCCAAAGGGGTCTCGACCCAAAGGTTGAGAACCGCTGACCTAGAGAGTCAACAATAGATAGAGTTCCACCAACAGCCAGGGAAGTCAGCATTGTTCTGCTCCTGTCCGTGTCATTAAGAAACCCTCCTCAGTGTGAACACCGTGGCTCACACCATAGCCCTCCATCATTTGCAGCCAGGAACCGGGCCTCAGGCTCAGCCTGACCCGTGGCCAAGGCAGGGGTGCGAGGCCACAGTTCTTGGTTGCTGATCAGTGACAGATTCTTGGGCGAATCCAGGTGGCTCTCCAGCAGCATGTTCTGGTGGCATGTTAGAGCAGGTGGAGTTCAAGAAACTTCCTTGAAATGAGGAATGGACAGAGGTTGAAGCTGCTCCCTCAAAGGCTGGACTGTCGGGGAGTCCAGCCCAGCTGGGGTTCCCTTCCTCACTGAGAACCCTAGCCGGTGTGGCTCAGTGGATAGACCATCAGCCTGCAGACTGAAGGGTCCCAGGTTCAATTCCAGTCAAGGGCACATGCCCGGGTTGTGGGTTCGATCCCCAGTGGGGGGATGTGCAGGAGGCAGCCCATCCATGATTATCTCTCATCATTGATGTTTCTCTCTCTCACCCTCTCCCTTCTGCTCTGAAATCAATACAAATTTTTAAAGAAATTCCCTCCGATAGTGATAATAAGGGGTGGGAAATGGGTTGAAAATAGTCCCGCAGGACCCTCCGTGGAAGAGGAGCGAAAGGTGATAGCATCCACGTTTAATGACACGTATCCCCACACTTTCCTTATGGAAAACGGGATCTGGAGAACTGGGGGAGCCAGAAACCTGCTACAGAACGGATGGAAAGCTCTGGAATAATGACTGCTGCGAGCCCGGATCCCCGTCGGCTCCGCCATCTACCTCCCTCCTAGTTGGCTAAATCTTACAGAAGTTAGGGTATGCCCGGGGGACCCTGGGTCTAGTAACCATGGCAACGGGCTGACTAAGCTTTCTCGTCTCTGCCCTCCTCTAGCTGGGAGGTGTCAGTGCCATTGCCCAAGACTCCTCGGAGCGACCGGGATTGTTTCTGTCGGAGGAGACACTGCAGCCGGGGCTCTGGGACAGAGGAGGCGTCAGCCCGAGTGAGTGTGGGGGTCCCGGGACGCCTGCCTTACCTGCCTTACCTGGTTGGTCTCTCAGAGTCAAAGGGAAGACGAGGAGGGTCGGGCGGGGAGAGGTCTCCTGGGAATTTGCCGGGTGAATGACCAAGAGTGTAGGTTCGATAGTCTGGGGCCGCTAGCTTTTCTAGAATGCAGTCGAAAATAGCCAGTAACTACTTTCTCGCCTGGTTGAATATAGAGGGGGAG